ATCACTAAACCTGTCTCAAAATCTGCGCGAGGGATGAACGAACAGCTACTGAAAACGTCAGCTGCTGATGTTTTATCCTCTGGGAAAAAACTCAGAAAAACCTCATGGAGGGGGTGGCATCCACCTCTCCCCCCCCCCTCTTGACGTCCGAGGGTTAAAACAATGATTTAAGCTCAATAATCCCCTCGAATAATCGAGTTACATGCAAATTGTCTTGAATGTTTTATTTGTTTTCTTTCTCAGAAACTCGCTGCCCTAAACTTCCCACTGTCCAGTATGCCACTGTGTCTCCGCGTGAATGTGTCACACAGCCAATGAGGTTTTACTCATTCTGCCGTTTTGACTGTCCTGACGGCTATTTTACTGAAGTTACTGTACCCGTAGTCTCTAGAGTTTTAAGGTGTCAGCTCAATGGTGCATGGGATGCTGGCGTTCCTCGATGCCATGGGAAGTAGGCTTTTTTTCACACATTCATTTTGTTTAAAGTTTTTGTTAACATCATGATCAGATCGGAAAATATTTGTAAAATAGTCTACTAGAATACATAAAATCAGAAGCATATAACATATAATAAAATATAATAAAAACCAGGCGCGACCTAGCGAATTCGTAATCGAGAGCGTTAGGAGCGATTTTGGTCCCACGCAATGGATGATCCCCTCACAGCGTCGTTTGCGACAACGCTTAACTTTGCCATGATCCATTGCGCGATTAACACCTTGATCGCTCGCAGTCGCTTTTTTTACCAAACCTCTTTGACGCCTAGAAACGAGGCAAATTTAATCAACGAAGTTGGTCGGATTCGATCTTCATAACACTTCATATCGGTAAATTCAAAACAGTATTCCGTCATCAGTTAAGCGTGGACATCCCGTTAATACGGACACTTCCTATGGCCACCTCAGTTTCCGTATTAACTGGCCTGGTTTGACTGTATTTTTAATATATAGATCGTCGGTCCCCAACATTGACGTGTCCTTCAGCTGTCTTAAGAGCAGAAACAATCAAAGGGAAGGCGACTGGAAAGGTGTCATGGAAAATCCATGTGACAGACAACTCTGTTATTGTAAATCCCAATGCAAAGATCAATGTGACCTCAAGTCATCAACCTTCACAAGAATTTCCTATTGGTGTGACTACAGTTGTTGTTACTGCTAATGATAGCGCCGGCAATGTTGCATCTTGCAGTTTTCGCGTGGACATTAGAGGTTAGTATAAAGATATATATAAAGATACCTATATTATATTTACTTCAGGGTACAATATTAAGTATTAAATAGCCCACGTTTGATATAGAAAAATTCTAACACGACTCCGAGGCTTTAGGGTCAAAATTGCAAATTTTTCACGACTCTATTGTCTCGCTATTCCCAGAAGAGACTTGAACATAAAGAAAACCAAAACAAAGAAAGCCTCGGAGTCATGTTAGGATTTTAAAACATCGAACGTGGGCTATGAAGGAAAAATCTTGAATTCCAAATGCGAATGAAACCTGGGATATATGAAAACTTTTGGTTTTGTTTCTCTCTGCTGACAATCTATCAAACTCAATTTTTTTAAAATTTCATTTAAGCCAAAAAGCCAGGCTACTGTGATAACCTGGCTTCTAAGTCTTAGTTTTTTTTTCTTTCTTTTTTTTTAACACAATGTCCACAATCAAATCAATAAGTAATCATCGTCATAAGATCTTTTAAGATCTTATGAGTTTGGTATTTTTTTTGGCCTACCTATATATGTACTGCCTTGTGAGTCACATTTTGTGGTTTCATTACTAAATCTCCGAGTAAAGGCTGAACAGTATTTTTAAGCTCGAGTTACATGTTCTGAGACTAGAAACCCTTGCATAATAATATTTGGCGTAATCCTGGCTTAAACTTAACCATCGTTCCAGGAACACGATGGTCAGAAATAGGTGTTTTTCCTCCAACATAGGTCACAGAGACGTGAAGAATTTCCCAAATGGCATAAAACTTGGCAGGATTGTTGCTTGAGAGATTCTTCACTTTTTGGTGGCAGTTTGACAGTCTTGATTGACATTGTGACGTCACAAATAGTTTCCAAATTTGGTGCCAAAATTTAGAATGAAGAAAATCGTCAGAAAAACCACATGGAGGTGTTCTGTGATCAGAGTGAAGCTTTCCAGTGAAAACCCCGTTAAAATCCATTAAAACGGGACAGAGTTACAAGCTATTTTGTGACTGACAATAAAAGAAGGAATTTAAAGAATTTAATTGTTTTATTACCTTATATGGTTAAACTTTAGGGAGGTTTCCAGTTCAAGACAATAAATGGAAGTTAAAAGAAAAATAGCGGATAACACAATGGAGAAAATTTGTAATTTTTTGAATCTGGGACTCTATAGGTATTTTCACGTAAATATGACGTCAACATGCAACCTGACACCCCATGTCCCAAATTTAAAAAACTACAAATTTGCTTTCATGCATGGTTCAATTAGTCTCCTTACTGTTTCGTTTAATAAGCTGGAGTTTAAATACCACTAAAGTTTGACCATATATGCTTAATTCCATACATTTGGCGGGAAATTTGAATTTCTTTAATTAGCTCTAACTTTGCAACAATTTAACGGATTTAAGTGGGGTTTTCACCAGAAAGCTCCGTTTTTTTTATAGATTTTATTTATAAAGTTATTTACGTCAAATAATTAATTCCAAATTTAGCGCCATGTTTCAAAGTCACTTATGACGTCATGCTGTCAATCAAAAGTATAAAACTACCATCAATACATGTGGACTTTCTTTTACTATGTTCCTGCCAAGTTTCGTCTCATTCGGAATATTTCATAATCATCTATGTGTCTCTAATGAGCCATGTGGGAAGAAAAACACCCATTTCTGACCATCGTGGAACCGGGCCCAGCCTCGCTTCTATTTAAAGGCCTTGGGAACTAAGCACACAATGTAAAATGGTCTTATAAGAACACACAAAAAAAACTAAATTTGCCACCATCTTGGAAAAAGGTATAGGTTCGGATTCGTTATCAATATTAAACCTTAGAATTTTATATCTTCTGTGAAAGGTTTGAACCTAGGAGTCATTTCAAAAGTAGGTTGAGTTTGATCGTCCAGGTGAACGTAGTCCTGAATAGGACTGTTGTTGTTGACAGTGACTGACGTTTCGACAACCTGTGCGGTAGTCATCTTCAGAGTCAAAGTGAGTTGTATCACGTCAGTTGATGGTATTATACTCCTGTTATTGATCTGATTGGTCAATTACGTCGCGATGTCACTGGTCGTCTGTCAGTTAAGCCGTGATGTTATTGCCTATGAAGACTCGTAATCAGTAATTGGTACATTTCGATCCGTCTATTGTCACAGTTAAACAGTCGTCTATTGTTAGTCAAATTGTCAGTTCTCCAGTAGTTCTCTCGTAGTTAGTTTTGCTTGATCTCGTCAATAAGTCGTTTGTACGGCGCTGGTAACTGTTGGCTACGATTCAGTGGCGTTTGTTCTAAGTTAGTAAACCAGCTTTCTAAAGTAAGACGTTGATAGTAGTTTGTAGAATACCTTCTACATGTCGCAGAGTCCCAGTCAATTTGCTGTTTCGTCTTTAAATGGTGCTCAGCAATGTGATTGTCTACGTCACCATTCCTCGTCGCTCGTTTGTGTTCGGTCAGTCGCGTGCTTAGGTTTCAGCCGGTTTCAGCAACGTAAGAAGCCTGGCAGTCGCAGCATTTGGTCTTGTATACTGCTCCCTGTCTGTCCTCCGGTTTGTCTTCGTCCTTGACATTAGTAAGCAGTCGCCGTAAAGTTGTTATCGGTTTGTGTGCAACACGTATATTGTAAGGTTGTAATATACGTGCAATAGTTTCAGAGTTGCCTCTGATGTACGGTATAGTCGCTGTCGTAACAGGGCCAGAGTTGGTCTGAGTGTTGGAATCAGTGTTACTGTGAGTGTTCCGTCTAACAAAGTCCGTGTTGTAATTGCACTCGGCTAAAAACTTTGTTACGATAATCAGTCTCGTCTTGTAGGCTGTCGGGTGAGTCGCAAACTAGTTGCGCTCGTCTCGTCAGAGTCCGGATTGTAGTAGCCTTGTGAGAGGTCGGGGTGTGCGAAGACTGGTCTAATAATCGGTCGGTATGTGTCGGTTTTCTGTAAATAGTCGTTTTTAGTTTGTTGTTGTCGCGAGTGACCAAGCAGTCTAGAAAAGGTATCTTAACATTTTCTTCGATCTCCTTGGTGAACTGTATGTCCGCGTTCTGTCTGTTAAGGTGTTCGTGAAAATCGTCGATTCCTTCTTTGTGTACGGCGGTGAATGTGTCGGTCACACACTCACTCTAGCCACAAACACAGAGAGACTTGCGATCACGTTTTGGAAGGGAAAAAATCATCAAAGGTTTAAACTTCAAGAAATAGTGAAGAAAAGCCCCAAAAGGTACTCATCGTAGAATCTTTTGAAGGAGACGATAAAAAAGCGCAGTACGCTAGCCTAAAATACATCTTCATTTAATGGCTGCCTTCGCTTAACATGGGTAAGTACTTCATGTCAAGCCATCATAAAGTTGTGAGTTGTCCGTTTTCACGACATAAATCCTCGGGGAGGGAGGGGGGCACTCTCTTACCTTAACTTTATAGATATTGCTCTGAAATAGTGTAAAGATTAGTAGAGCCGGACGGTGCACCCCCACTACGACTTCCCAGAAATACCCCTCCGAGAAAAAAATGGAACTTATTTTATAAACTGGGCTGCACCACAGGCAGCCCAGTTAAAAAGTCATTTCTGCGGGTCCCCATAGGGTTCTTCAATCCCGTAATCCCGAGAGTTATTTTTGTCATCCTACCCCCTGTGTATACTTTCAATCCCGAATCCCGCCCCGATTTTACTTTCAAATGCCGAATCCCGAGTTTCAAACTGAGGGAAATCGCGGGTCCCGAAAAGCCTATTCGAGACCCTTACTGTTCTGTTATAATTTGTTTTGCAATTGTATTTCACCATAGATACTGAACCACCAACGTTTAGCCAATGCCCGGGGGACATTATGCGTGAAGAGGGAAACATTCATGCGGCAGTGAGCTGGGTGGAGCCAGTGTTCTCCGACAATTCGGGCCAAATTGTCGCTGTTGATTCAAACAGACAAAGTGGAGCTAGCTTTGCTGTTCCTGGTGTCTATGACGTTGTATATACCGCATCGGATGGATCTAACAACGTGAACAAAAACTGCACTTTCAAAATAACATTGAAAAGTAAGTTACTATCAATTGAAAAACATTTCATCAATTACAAATACTTGAATGAAAGCTTTTAACCGGTGTGGTCATTTCTTGCTTCGGTCTGTGCAAGCTTCCCCCTATTTCAACAGAGGGATAATTTTGAAAAAATGTATGTTAACATGACGTGTTTTGTTAGGCTTCGTCTATGTATATCCTCTATTAGAAAAGCCAGTTTATTTACCCCAACAAAGTACATTCGCCACCAACTCGCTAATTTCCTTCATTATAAATTTTAGATCGCATGACATGCCAAGCGACCACAATTAAATATTAAAGCATAACAATACCTCAAGATTTACTTTTGGGGAAAAAATTGTTCTGGGTATCCGAGCGAGAAATATTGCTAGCAATCATATGCTCCGAATACACCTTTGACCCAGGCCTGCAGTCCCTTGAGTATTCATAATAATGAAACAATTAATTGCATTATGAGAGGTATTATAATGGAAACAAACAAAAAGAACAAGGTATGCCCATATTAATTCAATGAATGCTCGTTCTTTTATGGTAATCAAACTTGAAAAAATAAACTCTAGTCTCAAAGTCTCAGATTTTAGTCTTGTAGCTTTCGACTGTATCGCACAGTCTTCATCAGCATAGGGCAGGCAGCTGGGGCTCTGGGAGATAGACTGGGCGAACACCAAACCAAACAACATCTGCAGTGTTGGAACATCAGTCCAAAGCCAAACATGAGGGGAGGAGGACAGGAGGGGATGGGGGGTCAAGTTTCTTGACCAAGAGACGGTGGACAGTAAAAGAAAAATTAAGGAGGTCATCAATATCAGACGGTAGCGCCCAGCCCTAAACAGAGATGGGGGCTAAGAAATTCCTGCGATATTTTAATCATTTGTTGTCTCGTGATTAATTCACGAGACAACACTGAGCTTTTATTGCTAATGAAGATTGTGCAATACGGTCGAAAGCTACGAGACGAAAATCTGAGACTTTGAAACCTACAGAATTTATTCTTTTAAATACCAATATTGTTAAGAAATGATGAAATTGACGAGTCCTTATTATTGTAGACTGCAACATTTCCAAAGAATCTGAAAGAATTTTTCTACGATTTTCTTAATGTAAAAGGGCAAAATAATTAAGCCAGGTCAGTTGTTTCAACATCAGTGACCAGGGCATAAGTTTATACAATTATTCGTATATGTACCTGAAATCCATTTTTTTGCAAACCATAGTGTTAAAGGTTCAGAGGGATAGAAGTTTTGTTGTGCCTCTTGCCTTTACAGATGAAAAACAGTGTACTCCTTTTACTCCTCCTCGTAACGGTGCCCTGGTGTGTGCAACGAAAGGTACACCTTGCGCAGTCATGTGTCGAACTGGTACCGATTTTGAATCTAATCCACCGTTACTGTATTTCTGTTCGAGTGGAGTGTGGCAGTTTTTTGCGTTTTATCACTTTAAAACAGGTACTCCCGGGCCAAACTGTGCTGGTAAGTCTCTAAATGTTCGTAATATATTTGTTTGTTTTTCCCTTAAATAAAGGGAGAATGTCATGAGGATGGTGTTGTTATATTAGGCCAATTTCACGGTGGGGTCATTGCTTGGTACCGTTCAACCATACAAATTAAAAAAATACTCCTTTAGAGTTATGGAGACGATATGAAACTAACTTCATGAGGGAGCACAAACCAAAGTTTTGGTGATTGTTAGGTCAACTTTTTTAAAGTTTCAATTTATGCCCATCCTTACCGTCGGTTGCAACAGACGACAGGAAACAGTTCAAATGCCTGAATATAGTCTTAAATAACAAAATTGGACCATTATTTTTGGAATTAAATTCATGTGAAAACACTTCTTGCATGGCTTTTTAAAAAGATAGCAAAGAGCCTTTAAAGCTCATTTATTATTTACCAGGCTATTTATAAAGCCAATCAGAATGTCCCGTTTTGGTCAGCTGCATATGCAGTGGAGGATGCAGGGAAGGGGCCCGCCCCCTTATTTTTAGACCAAACGGGCCGTCCCCCCTTATCTCAGGGTCTGGATGACCGCCCCCCCTCCACTCCCCTTATCTGACGGTCTGGATCCGCCACTGGTATTTATGCTCAACAGTAAAACAGTGCATAATACGTCTGGTTAGTTTCATAACTTGTCAAGACACTCAGATTTTAAACCCTAAAAAAATAATGAAAGTTAAACAAAATTAAACTTATTCACCTTATTCTAAAATGGCGTCAAATTTTGTTTTTATTTTCTCCATATGATTGAACCATTGTTTAAAGGTAAATAAAAGTTTTTAATGCTGTAGATGCAATCAAAGCAAAAAGGACTAATTAACATAAGTATTAAAGAAAAGTTGTATTGTCGCCAATTTTTAATAATGTGTATAAAACACTTCTACTTGTTCACCAAATTTACATAATACACTGTATACAATGTAAGTAGAAAACCGGATGTAATCTAAAATAACCAGTTGACTTAAGAATATCGGTTGTTTACCACTTACAAAAAGTTTCCAGAAAATCCGATTGGAATGTAAATTAAAACGATTTTCGGGTCGTTTCAGCGGAAAATTTCCGGGAGAAACGGAATTTCTTAAAAGGTAGTCAAGTGTTCCTTTTCACAATGCTCCAAAGAGAAATTCATTATCCATTCCTTTGATGCCATCTTTGATACCAGTATCAGCCTTTCGGGGCTGTTTTTGGCAGATGGAAGTGATTTTTGCAAATGGTAAACACCCATTCCGGGACGAAATATATCAGTCCTGACTTTTGCTTACACTGGGATTTACCCAAATGGTGAACCACATCGGGTTGCCCGTGTAAATGGGTCAAACTACAAGGTTACCGTTCTCTAAGACAATAAAGCAGATTGGGACGTTAACATGCGACGACGGCGACGGCAACGAGAACGTCAATAAAGCAACAGGTTTAAAAGCGAAACAACAACTCTGCACGTGCATTACGCTTTTTAATTTTGTGCATTTTTTTGCCGTCGCTGCACGACTACGATGTAAAAATGCCTGGTTTTACCTTCTATGGAGGACGCGCGCGACGACGCATTTTTTTTTTCTTGTGAACTTTCATTTTGTTCGTATGAATTCAGCTCCAGGGGAGTACGCCTACATTCAACAAAGTAAGTGAGTTAGAATAACCACGATATGAAGATTGAAATAACGAGACAGCGCTTTTTATATGACGCCTTCGCCGCCGTCCTCGGACCTTAGGTTATGTTCAGACTATAGATCGTTTTCGCTACGACGCAACAAAATATTAAATTGGAAACCGTCCAGTGGAAGAAGCCAAGAAAATGAAATGTTATAAAAGACTAATATATAAACAATTTTTCCAAGTCTCAAGTCTTTGTGGCCCACACTTTCTGAGTTATTTGCCGAAACGTTTCACGCACCTTTGTAGAGCTTTGTATGGAGACGCCATATTGGTGCGCCAATATGGCCGCCGGAAATCAACAAAAACATTTGGAGTTCACTTTTTCTGTAAAAGCTCGTTCTTTTCACTCAAGGACTAGCATACGTACGCATAAACATATCCTGTAATATTTGAAGTGGCTATACGGCTGAAAATCAAGAGGAGAGACTTTTTTCAACGAGACAGCATTGCTATTTTGGTGTCACGCACTGTGAAAACTCGGAAGTTCAAATTGCTGTATTTTCGAAATGAAACATGCTACGGAAATGGAAGCTTGTACAAAGATTTACTTTTTGTTTATCTTCAACCTAGTGTAAATAAGAATTCGTAAAACCTCGCTATTTTGACTTTACAATTTGATGACGTTACAGTGAAAACCATCTATACTCAGATAGCTTTTCGTACCGACACGAAAAATTATCCGGCAACACCTATCCGATATGATATTCTTCACTTTAGAGATCGGCGCTTTGCAGCTTCGATCAGTTACAGAAATCGCGCCGAAATCACCATCCTTCAAGCGCACCAGAATCGCGGAAAGAGCACCTGTACCAGTCCTACTCCGCAAAACACATTACATGAGAGCAGAGCGCTCGTTTCACCGCCCAATCTTTATCCGCCCAGGTGTAAACAGACGCCCTAACCATGGCGGTATATGGATTTCGTACCGGCGAAAAAGCTATGGTATAGTGTGAATATAACCATAAGCTCCCTACCTTTCATACATCTCCTCTTATACGTAATTCAATAAAGGTTGCTTTGACGTGGTCTTTAGTAATTGGGCATTTCGGTATACGGAACGATCACTGCAACGGTTTGCAATGATTTGCTTGAATGACTGCCAAACAATCGGTTCGCAATGCGCAATTACCAATCCCCGATGCAACCCGCTTATTAATCGCTAATATAAATGATAACGTTCTATTCATGGAGATTTTTCCTTACCTTTGCCTTTTTCTAAAACCTTGTTGCAGTTGGTGTGAATCCTTCCCAGATAAAGCTCTTCAACCTGCCATTTTTCTACTTTGATGGAGATGCGCCAAACGTCCAGGACACCATCAAGAACAACTTCTACCAGTTTTTAATGTCACCGTTTGTTCCGCCTTTTTTCTGCCAGAATTCCCCTCATTTATGCTTGAAGAATGACATGTCTGTTTCTCTAGGAGTCAAAGGTAAATGTTAGAACCTAGTTTGCCATATTAAAAGAATCGCCTTGGTTTTTTGAAATAGTATTAGAAACTTCAATAGAAGGCCGACGATTATATTGACACCGGCCTAAACAAAATATTTCAGTTCTATTCAAGCAGTTTCGATTCTCTTAGGGCGGGATTTCCTCTGTCGCGTTATTTTTACGAGCGTACGCATGTAAATATTACGCACGTAAATAAATACACCTTATTCAGGATGTTTCCGGATACTCTTACCAAAGAAAATGAAGCCAATTGCAAAATAACAATTTTTTTGGTAGTGGAGTAATAAACCTCTTATTCGATGGCTTAGCATATAATACGAGCGGACATTTTGCTCATTACTCGTATTATACGCTAAACCATCGAATAAGAGGTTTATTACTCCACTACCAAAAAAATTGTTATTTTGCAATTGGCTTCATTTTCTTTGGTAAGAGTATCCGGAAACATCCTGATTCCGTCTGTGAGAATGACGTTAACAATGAGCAAATGTTCGCGCGTATTATATGCCAAACCATTGAATGAGAGGTCAGTTATTGGTTGCTAAAAAAGTCAAGTCCAAAGGACCCAAACAAGTCAAAATTAGGTTCGTCCGCCGGTTCGTCCAGTTCAGCCGCAGTTGCTCCTTTGAATCCGTTGGTATTCGCCCTGTGTAAATCGGTTAAACCAGGACGCTACAGCGTATTACGGCCTTGATTTTGCGAGTTATGTTGAACTTATATGGTAAAATGACATAATAGTGGAATAATAATATAGGAGAAATGTATGGAAGGTCGTGTAAACGTTACAGTTGGACCTCACGCAACTTTTGACTCTGCTCGCGGCCTCTCATACGTATGTTCTATTTTATTCATGCACGCAAAAATTACGCGACTTTAAATGCAACCTTAGTCTTTAGGATCGCCTTGCATTGTACGAGAAGTATTCATATGATCCTCTCAAACACTCGTATAGTCATCTTAGAAAATTATCTTAAACGATGAATTGGCCCTGAAAAGAGACTCGAATGAGAAGTTTGAAGGACTAGCCCTAGTCACAACGAGTTGGGATAAATAGTTTAACTCATGACCATTCGAGTTCAAGTTCGGACGCTCTACCCACTGAGCTACTGCTACTCTAATGGCGAGCAGTGTCGGAAATTACGAATACAGGTACACCAGGCTTTTTTCACTTGCTCGAAATTCGGCCGTCCATCAACGTACAAGCCCTAGACTGTATATTTTTATCAAATAAGAAGAAGAGTTCAAACACCAGAAAGCTCAGAAAAATTTTCCGGGCTCCAGGTGAGAATCGAACTCCCGACCCTCCCGGTACTAGTTCGGACGCTCTAACCACTGAGCTACTGGAACTCTAATGGCGAGCAGGCTCGGATTTTATATACAAGTACTGTCTACACAACATTGTCCATAATTGTTTTTTTCTTATGTGCAGGTTGATTCCAGAGGTTTTCACAGAATAAAACTAAAGAGAAGTAGGTGCCTATAGGCCCTGGCTGCTTACCAAAGTCCTCATTATTAAGTGCTGCTGTCAGTATAATTTATCAGTGTTAAATTTACCAATAAATATACAGTTTTAATCAGCTGTTTTTGACCATTGTACACCTCTTATGTTAAAGGGGAGAAGGAGGATGGGTGCTTACAAAATAAGGAAATAGGATTTAAAAATAAAATTATTATTAGAATTTTGACAAAAGGCAATTTAAATTATTCCCTAATTTCGCAAGTTTACCTTTTATCATAGATGACTTTTGATTTTGATTGGTTTATCGTATCGAGAACTCGACACACACTGAAACGTTTAGGGCATAGTTCTTGGCTTAAATTCCCAGTTTTCTGAAATTTTCTTCAGAATACCTGTTACAATCTTTCTTGACGTTCTTTTTCGTGTGTTTTAATGCCTTGGCATCTTCATTCATAACATTTTAAAACCTTGACGCCATCTTGGCACTGAGACATATGGAACGTTGATAGCAATTTCAGTTTGTAATTTCACATGTGAAATCATAAATTAACGCTTAAATTTCGCTCCTAAATTAACAAGTAATTTGTCAACCATGTTCTTATCCAAATTATTATTCACTCAAAATATTTCCCCTTTTCTTAATGGATCCAATTCCTTGGCTAATTCTTCATAACCAACTGGCGCTTACCATATTTGTTAGTCGCGATTCGATGGTATGTTGTCCAAGCAGCCTCGTTTTCAGAAAAATATCCCATCGATCAACCTCTCTTCCAGGCGCGACAGCTTGGCTGTTTATTTTCAGCCTCCTAACAATTATTGAAAGAGGCTGAGTAGGATGCAAAGAATTGTGCAGATCATGGTGGATAACATCCTCTGAGATCTGCATAATTCTTCACATCGTACAATATGAATTCATTGTTATTACATCAACTGGCCAGGAGCCTATTACGCAGGAGCTTCCAACTCCCACTGATTAGGGCAACATCGTATTTACAATTTGGGCTATTTTTAGGCTGTACCTTCCCGGAAATGTTGTTCCCTCCGGCGCCCGCATTCAGGGTCCAGTATCTAAAAAAAATCACTTTCTAGCACAACTTCACAGTTCTGAAGTCCCTTGTTTCGATCTTCTCTATTCCTGTTTTTACTGAGTGCAAGTGCACCCATGATACAATGCAAACTATTACTCCCACTGAGCAACAATACATCTTTGGAGCGATGGTCGACCGTCGTCAGGTTCCATATCATCATCAGTTGTTGCATGTTGTTGCGTGTTGTTGCGCAGTGTTTGAGACCGGTCAAACTTTTTCAACAACAGAAACAGAGGATGGTGTGTCTGTCACATTATGAACCTAATATAGATGATGAATTGGCCATGGCCACCACAATTTAGAGACTTGCTGTCCTTTGAAGCGCTATTATATCTTTACCTTACTTGGTCAAACGTAGATTGCGGTATAGAAGTTATTTTGTTACCCATCTTTGTCTCCAATAGTATTTCCTTGTCAATAGGTTAATTCCAGTGGTTTTGAAGCAAAATGAAGAGAAAAGAGCTAGGTCCGCCTAAGTAGTCTAGAGTATTGTTATTTGCCTGCATGAGCGTTGAATTAATCAATAAACAGTAAAATATAATCGACAGTGATTGATCTGACCATTACGTGCCTGATGGTTTGTTAAGGGGAAAGCGGAAAGAGTAACCTGGGTAGAACGAAAACGGCACCTGAAAAGTCTGATGAAAATCAAAATAAGCAGACGTAAAAAACCGTTCCAAAGAGCTTCAGTATTAAGCAATTACACATTGAACTCAAATTCTCTTTCCACATAATTTGAGTTAATCTAAGAGAGGGGAGCGTAAGGGTTTTTGCGGTATTGCGGTATTGGGTTATTTTTGGTGCGGTGTTGCGGTAATTTTTATTTCAAAGTACGGTATTGCGGTTTTCAGAGTCCAAGTGGTGTGCGGTAAGTTTAAATTTTATGTCGCGGTAGTCGGTGAAAAAATCGTTGTGTCGCGGTGATCTGCTTCTTTTTCATGACAAGAGGATACAAATCCTAAAAGGTCTCGCTAGCTAGCCTGCGTGTCTTCCTGTAGTTGCACAGTCGGGGATCGTATTGCGCAAACAGTGCAGACAAATCGTATGGCTTGTAATTTCAGTTAATACTTGATATGATTAACGACATTAACTTTTTTATCCAATGATACGTAAACATGTCGCATTATTTATGAATCATGGACATTGTGGGAATAGTCAGCTTTTAACCTCCCTACCAATCTTACCACCACTTTCGAGCTAGTCGCAAAACAATGGCGAGCGATCCAGAGGGTCAACTAAGTGATCAGTCAGATATTCCAGCGAATAGTGAGGTCAGTGAGGTCGTTATAAATTGTGTAGTGTCGAAAGATAATCCATGAAGATGATGTGATCTAAAAATTAATACTCGTCCTTCTCGTTGTGCATGCAGGAATATAGAATGTACTAGTATTCGTGTGTGCTTAGCCTACGTACCATGGCGGC